GATTTTGAAGAAAAGCCGACCCGCGCGGGCCCTGCTATGTGGAGCGTAGCGTTGCATGCGACGGAAAACGTTGCCACTCTTGAGAAAGGGAGACGACGCATGGCGACGACTGAAAGCCTTGACAAGGGGCTTTGCGGGGTCCAATGGAGATTTTTTTTGTTACAATTTTATTTTACCAGGTAAGGCCCCCATACTGAACTGCCACGTGGCTATTTTTGAGAAGCGGCCTGGCTATCACGAATGATAGCTCAGCGAAGTGGCTTAGCAACGCGTGCAAATGTATCGAAGCCAAACATTCTAAATGCGTGATGTTCATTCTAAATGTGGGGAGAAAAAAATGCACGCGACCACGGGGAGAACACGCAAACTCCGAATATACAGCAGGCGTCAGGGTCAGGATCGAACCCACGACCTCCTGTATACCAGGCGAGGGAGTTAACATCTCGCCACTGTGGAGCCCCATTTAGTCGGATGGCGAAAAAGGGTTAATGGTCTAAGTTCAAGAGCAGGTTAGGGAGGAGAGAAGCCTCAGAACGATGCAGAAAATAAATATGCGGTTGGGACACAAGCTTAGAGGTGCGCACTTCACGAAGAGTGGTCTGGAAAAAAAAATATGCTGGTAAATCGGCGAGAGCCAGGAGAAAAAAGATAAGAATCATAGCTTGAAAGGCCACCGCCTTCCTGCTCTACGCCGCCACGTGGCCCCGCCTGCGCTGCCTCCACTCCAGCGGCGCCAACGGAGCGGCCAAGTCGCAGGCGGACAATGATGGAGGGGGGAGTTTGAGCCGAGGACCCGCAGAAATAACGATGCCCTCTAGTGTAGCGTAAAGGAATTGTTTTTAATTATAACTTGCACCGCACATTTTGCTTTGCTTTAAAGATTGTTTCATGTTTAACTCAACAGAGTGCCCGGGGAAAACCTACGGATAGGTGGACAACACTGTCAGAAACCTCCTAGCGGGGGGGGGGGGGGGGGGGGGGGGGGTGCATAATCTCATCATCAAAGTCTAAACGCACGTTTCTAAATCTACTGCTAACACCGGGTGGATTTTTAAAAATTCATTCTCCACATCTCTGCGATCCATAAACAACACCGCAGAACCACCCGCACCCAGCACATTCAGGAATTGGCCAATGCTGCGTGCTATATTTACCTCTTTTTTCCATTGGCACATCTGACCCGAGCCAGCCCGGAACCCTCATGGTACGGTTGGATTTTCCACTGGCTGCCCAGCCCAGCCGGAACCAAAGCGTGGTACGCTGGCTTCACAAGAAGACATCTGGATCTGGCTCGGGGCCAAGCAAGGCACGTGATGTCATCACACTTGAAGATGCTCGACAAACTAGGGTCCAGCGAGACAGAGCGAGTCGGAAGCGAGAAGATGCGTCTGAGTTTCTTGACTGTGTATGTTGTATGTGTGCGATCGAGTATGTGTGATTGTGTATGTGTGATTGTGTATGTGTGATTGTGTATGTGTGTGATTGTGTATGTTTGCGATCGAGTATGTGTGATTGTGTATGTGTGTGATCGTGTACGTGTGTGATCGTGTACGTGTGTGATCGTGTACGTGTGTGATCGTGTACGTGTGTGATTGTGTACGTGTGTGATTGTGTACGTGTGTGATTGTGTACGGGTGTGATTGTGTATGTGTGTAATTGTGTATGTGTGTGATTGTGTATGTGTGTGATTGTGTATGTGTGTGATTGTGTATGTGTGTGATCGTGTATGTGTGTGATCGTGTATGTGTGTGATTGTGTATGTGTGTCATTGTGTATGTGTGATTGTGTATGTGATTGTGTATGTGTGTGATTGTGTATGTGTGATTGTGTATGTGTGTGATCGTGTATGTGTGATCGTGTATGTGTGATCGTGTATGTGTGTGATTGTGTATGTGTGTGATTGTGTACGTGTGTGATTGTGTAGGTGTGTGATTGTGTACGTGCGTGATTGTGTATGTGTGTGATTGTGTATGTGTGTGATTGTGTATGTGTGATTGTGTATGTGTGTGATTGTGTATGTGTGTGATTGTGTATGTGATTGTGTATGTGTGTGATTGTGTATGCGTGTGATTGTGTATGCGTGTGATTGTGTATGTGTGATCGTGTATGTGTGTGATCGTGTATGTGTGATCGTGTATGTGTGAACGTGTATGTGCGTGATTGTGTATGTGTGTGATTGTGTATGTGTGTGATTGTGTATGTGTGTGATTGTGTACGTGTGTGATTGTGTATGTGTGTGATTGTGTATGTGTGTGATTGTGTACGTGTGTGATTGTGTACGTGTGTGATTGTGTACGTGTGTGATCGTGTATGTGTGATCGTGCATGTGTGATTGTGTATGTGTGATTGTGTATGTGTGTGGTTGTGTATGTGTGTGATTGTGTATGTGTGTGATTGTGTATGTGTGTGATTGTGTATGTGTGTGATTGTGTATGTGTGATTGTGTATGTGTGTGATTGTGTATGTGTGTGATTGTGTATGTGTGTGATCGTGTATGTGTGTGATTGTGTATGTGTGTGATTGTGTATGTGTGATTGTGTATGTGTGATTGTGTATGTGTGTGATTGTGTATGTGTGATTGTGTATGTGTGATCGTGTATGTGTGATCGTGTATGTGTGTGATTGTGTACGTGTGTGATTGTGTACGTGTGTGATTGTGTACGTGTGATTGTGTACGTGTGTGATTGTGTATGTGTGATTGTGTACGTGTGTGATTGTGTATGTGTGTGATTGTGTATGTGTGTGATTGTGTATGTGTGTGATTGTGTACATGTGTGATTGTGTACATGTGTGATTGTGTATGTGTGTGATTGTGTACGTGTGTGATCGTGTACGTGTGTGATCGTGTATGTGTGTGATTGTGTATGTGTGTGATTGTGTATGTGTGTGATTGTGTGTGATTGTGTATGTGTGTGATTGTGTATGTGTGTGATTGTGTATGTGTGTGATTGTGTATGTGTGATTGTGTATGTGTGTGATTGTGTATGTCTGCGTATGTGGGGAGCGGCAGTGCAGTGGTTGGCGCACTGCACTACGAACCCGGCGACTCGAGTTTGCTTGCCGCTCATGGCCAACACCGGTGACAATTATCTGAACCGGTCCCGATCCTCCCCTAGGTCGACTCTGCCTCAAATTAGTACCTGGTGCGGTGTGTGAACATCGCTACTCGGGAGACAAAGGCAGCCGGGCATGGTGCTGTCCACCCACTTCCTCATGTACCGTGCCGGCCTTCATAGGTGCTACTCGCTAACAGCACTTGCCCCAACAGTCTGTTGAGGCTATACTGGAGATATTTGTCTTATCTGCGTGTGTTGTGTGTGCGCATGAGCGTGTAGCCACCACGTCATCTGCGTGTGACGTCAGCGGCACGGCTCGGCTTCTGCGGTGGACAAAAAAGATAACCGGCGACTCCCGCTAACCGGTGACTCGGGAGTCATCGGCTATCGCTGGGCCGTGTCGGCACGGCCCCCGGCTCGAAACGGATGTGCCAAGTGGAAAAACAGAGAGGTACTTCTTTCTTTCGTTTTATAGGACCCCAAGCTGTGACAATTCTAACGAACGTCTCACGCTTGCTGCAACCGATGGTGCAGCTGGCAATACTGCCTTCCGTTGTTTTCTCCGTAGCACGCGTGCGCACGCACACGTATGCACGCACGCACACGTACGTACGCACGCACACGTACGTACGCACGCACGCACACGCATGCATGCAGACGCACGCGCGCTGGTGTGGCACAACCGCGCGCCAAGACAACAACAAAAACGCGTGCGCGCCACCACATTTTTGCGACGGCAGAGGTGGCGACGCACGGGTTTAAACGCAAAGGGGAAAACAGTGTGGGCATCGTGATCAAGAGTCTGAGCTTGAGTCGCTGTCAAGTCGTGGCCACGCACTTGCGGTTGTGACCACAAACACAAGGCACCCAATGTTCGAAAGTAAGTACCGATGAACACAACGGCGATGTCGGCGTTGTAACATGTAGACCCATCTCGCCACTGCGAACCGCGATGGATGATGGTGTTTTTGGCTTGGGGTACTCACAATAGTGATGACTATCTCGGTAATGACACAGACACCTATGTACACGTTTTCGAGAATCAAATAAAAATCATTCATTTAGCTGCATTTCAGTATATTATATCTTCAGCACTTTATACAGGAATTCTGTTTTCCTTTTTGCGAAAGTCACTTTTAAAAAAATATTTGAAAGTGCTTTTTCAGTAGAAATGTATTATCGCATAGCGATATAAATCAGCATTGTCACATGTCCGGTGCTGTGCAAGTGTTGTGCGATATTTGGTGTTTGTGTGCATTTATTTTCGTTTAACAATTTTGCGTTCTTACACCATTTATGCGCTTTCACACGTGCCGGGGAGAGGGACACTCAGCGGCACTGCCACGCTCTCTCCCCGCCGTCACGCGCTCAAACGCTTCCCCAACCTCCCGCTCGCACGCAATTTCACACGTCCCCACTGCCCGTTCAACCCCGCGCGTCGTCACCACACCGTCTCCGTCTGTGAGGCACTGTGAGGCGCACCGGGGTGACGCCGTCGCGGTCGCTCCCCCGAAACAACCGCAGCAGTCCGTGCCCCCCCCCCCACCGCCCCCCTCCCCCCAATGCCGCCCGGCGCCTTCCGTGGACAAGGCCGTCGAGGCCGGAGGGCGGCCTCGACGGCTGATCCAGCGCTCGAGCGATCGCGCGCTCGCCAACGCTACCGATTCGCAGGGCTCGGCTGCCAAGTCAGACCCTTTGACACGCGCACGCCGAGTTTGCGGAGCCAATCGTGTCGCTTTTCTTTCCCCCTTTTAAAATCGCCGTGCGGTGAAAAGGATTTGGAGGACGGCAGCCCACCGCTTGGGATCGGGAGGGTCGGCCCGCGCGCGACGGGGCATCGGCACCTTCGCGACGAGCGTGGCGGGACGGCAGCGCCGGCGGGGCTCTCCGGAGAGGCGCCCCTCGGATTGGCGAACCGCGGGGTCCGTCGCGCCGGCCCCGAGCCTACAGCACGGTCTCCATGTTCTCGCAGAGCTCGCGATCGTCCAGGCTGTAGACGAACTTTGCCCTCAGCCCGCCGGGCCTCCCACCCGCCGACAGAGGGGACGCCGGCCCGGCCGCCCGGCCCCGTTCAGCCGCTCCGTCGCCCGGACCGGACGGGCTGAACGCGGCCGCGCCCGGCACCGGCGCCGCGGCCGCCGCGGCCGCCGCGGCCGCCGCAGCCGCCGCGGCCGCCGCCGCCGACCTGGCCGCTCCGTTGGCGCCGCCGGAGTGGAGGTAGCGCGCCGGCGAGCAGCGCAGGCAGGCCCACGTGGCGGCGTAGAGCAGGAAGGCGGTGGCCTTGAGCGCCACGGCCAGGATGACGTAGATTCGGCGGTAGGACTCGCTGTCGTAGAGGGCGCAGGCGCCGCGGCTGCCCTTGGCGAGGATGGCGCCCGTGCGCGAGCACGGCTCGGACCATTGCACGCACGTCATGTCGATGGCGATGCCGAAGATGAGCGGCGGCGGAATGAACCCTGGGCGGAGGAGGCGGGAGGACGGCGGTGAGAGTCGTCGATTTTGCCGTTAATTAGCCGATTTATTTTTCTGCCGCACAGGGATCCGCGGGCGTGCTGTGGTAACTTTCCGGCGAGTTTCGGAGAGACCCAACAAAACGTTTTCGGCGTAGACCCAAAAACGCGGCGGAGGAGAACAAAGCTCCTGGATTTTTTTTGCTCCGATATTGAAGACCGATCGTGACGCGAACCATGCGCCGTCGGGTTCTGAATACTCGCGGTCGACGGCGCACACCGCCGCCCTCGAAGGCGACGACGTGGAACCGCTAAACTCGGCCTCTTTATCCCGACGAGCCAAGGGTGGTGGGGGCGTGCGCCGAGAAGGCGTCGAGCAGCAGCCGCCTTCCGGCGTCAATCCCTAAGGGGCCCTCCCGCTAAAGTCTCCCCCGGGCGCTGTCGCATTCCCAAGTCTCGCGGAAGAAACGGACGCAGTCAGAGCAGGCCCGAGGCCGATCCCCAGGGCAGACTCGCGGCAAGCCCTTCAGCGGGCCCTGCACCAATAGTGCCCGAAAGGGTCAGGATTTGAGGCGTTGGGATGCACGTTCAGAGAATTAGGTGGCATGAGGGATTTCACCGAACACCGCTGTCACAACCGTTAAATAGGGCGGCCCGAACGTTGATTGACATGTGGGCTGAAACCGTTGGACCAACGTTGGCCCGACCTTGGCGCCGATGTTCCACGGCTACTGAGAATGGCGGCCTCATTTCATTCCCTGAGCCAGAGCCCACGCCGACGGTGCTGCTGCCGACGGTGTGTGCCCACGTGTGTGCGTGTGTGTGCGTGTGTGTGTGCGTGTGTGTGCCCACGTGTGTGCGTGTGTGTGTGCCCACGTGTGTGCGTGTGTGCCCACGTGCATGTGTGTGTGTGCGTGTGTGTGCCCACGTGTGTGTGTGCGTGTGCCCACGTGCGTGCATGTGTGTGCCCACGTGCGTGTGTGAGCGAGGACTTACCCAGGAGGCGTATGAGAAGGAACTGCACCCCCAGCGCGTACGACTTGAGCTCCGGACTCACGGTTCTGAGAGCGCAGCACGACGAAGACCAACGGAGAGTTGGTGCCACGTGTGGGTGGGGGGGGGGGGCGTTCAACGGACACAGACAACGCCGTGAGCCGTGCGTGCAGCGACCAGCTGGGATAGAGTGGCAAGCATCCTGCGGGAAGGCCGCAGAGCTTGGCCGATTGTTGGTGGTGCCGGTTTTGGCCGCCTTCCCGCCCACCCCGCTCGCGCGCGTTACAAAGTGCGCCTCGAGACGAAAATAACAAAATGACGTGACAAGTTGCACACACGTGATCACTCAGGGGTGAACTCGGCTTTTTGAAAACGAATTTCGTTAGAGCTGCCTTTTTTGTTTAGTTTCTTGGACGGTGGCCCGGCCGGGCGCCGGTGCGGTTCCCGCCGGGGGTCCTGGCGGAGGGCGCTCACCTGATGAGTATCATGATGGCCGGCGTCTGCGCCATGGCGCCGATGAGGCTGCTGACGCAGACCATGGCGAGGAAGGTGGGGAACACTCGCTGGCACTCGGGGTTCGGGCAGCGGCCCGGCACGGCGCTCTCCGCTCGCCCTCCCTCGCTCGCGAACACGCACAGGCACTCTGACATGTTCTACGGGGGAAAGGGGGGGGAATGCACGCACGGTACAGGTATGGCACGTGGCAGGGTGGGGGCGGGCGGGGTGCCTCACGGCAAGATGGGCCTGGGGTTTGGTGCCTGGCTCGGGTGCCTCTGTGTGTGGAATTTCAACGTTTCTCGCCCTGTTCTGCAGAGTGTGAGTGAGTGTGTGTTGAAGGCTACATAAGGGACGCGAGTTTCTATGACACAAACAACAAACAAAGATCCGCCAGTATAGCCTTAACGGACTTTTGGAGCAAGTGCTGCTAGCGAGCGCCTATGAAGGCAGGCATGGCACAAAAGCAGGTGGGTGGCCAACACCACGCCCGGCTGCCTTAGTACTCATTTTAGACGACTAAGGGGAGGCCCAGGAACGGTTCAGATATTTGTCACTGACGTTGGCCGTGAGCAGGAATCGAAATCGTGTCACCGGGTTCGTAGCGCAGCGCGCTAAACGCTACCCTACCGTTCCCCACGCAACACACGCACGCACGTGCCCGCACACGCACGCGTGCAAGGAACGCACCCCAGCCAAGCAGCCGGCGTAGCAGGGTGAGAGGTACGTGATGCCGTCGGAGCCGCACACGGGGCTGTACGCTCCGGCCACACAGCCACACTCCAGGTTACACGGCGCGTACGGATCCAGGGGCCAATCCCCATCCGACCTGAAACACACAGGCACATGCACACGCACGCACACACATAATCACACGTGCACACACACACAATCACACGCGCGCACACACACACAATCACACGTGCACACACAATCACACGTGCACACACACACACAATCACTCGCGCACACACACACACAATCACACACAATCACACACAACCACACGCGCACACACACATGCATGCACACACGCGCGCGAGCACATAAACGTACACATTCACGCACATGCAGGAGCGCCGTGAGTCCCGCCGTCCGGACAAGTCGAAGACAATTGGATGTGGGACAAAGTTTAGTTCCAAGTTTCCTTTGTTTAACCAGGTGAGAACTCAAGAGACCAGGATGAGTCTCATTTACGAGGGTGACCTGGGGGTCATCGCTCTGCCAGTCGACGACTGCCCTCGACAATCCCAATTGAGTCGTTTACAACTTAGCCGATTTGGACCGTGACGCCGACATGCAGTCGCCGACTCCTGCGAATGACGGGGATCTTCAACGTCCACCGTGGGTGAAGCGGACGGCGTACGGCATCTGCAAGATCCGACACCGTGTCCATCCGGTGCTCGCCGAGCTGCATTGCCTTCCGGTTGCCGAACAAATTCATTGCAAGGTCGTGCCACAAATGAGCCGCAATGAACCTCGCCGATTTCGTCAAAGAGCATACACCATCACGCAAGCCGTCGAACAAAAGACGCTCACCGCACTTCTGCGGCCGTCTGGAACGCTCTTCCTTCCGATATCAGGAAGCCACTGGAGCTTTGCACTTTTAAACTACCTAGATTGAAAACTCCTTTCTTTAGAACTGCTTTCTGTGCTTAGCTTGTTGTCCTTGCCCGCGCATCTCCGATTAGCACGGTTGGCTACGTGCGGTGCGAAACAAGTTCAACGTACATACGGTACGTACATTATTACGGTTGTTGCACTGCAGTAAAAATCGGGCTGGCCGCTGATATACGAACGGCGAACAAGCGGCGAACGCGCTGCCGCTAGGGCCACATCGATCAACGCGCGTCCCGCGATCGTCCAAATCAATCGGCGGATCGTCGGGCGGTTTAGAATCGGCTTAGAATCTCCACGGGTGGAGCAGCGGCTGACCGCGTCGCGCGGTGGTGGTGGTGAGGTGGCCCCAGAAGATGGCGCCAACGAACCACTTTTGGGGTCGCTTCAAAGAGGCTCCATCGTCACTGAAATGCAAATATCGGTGGGACTTTAATTGAGCGGCCAACGGTGATCGGCCTGAGAACATCAAGCCCGCTCTACGGAGGTGCTCTGCGCGGCGTGCGATCCGTATGCATGTACGTATGTTGAACTTCCTTCACGCCGTACGTAACCGCGCTAATCGGAGGTGCCGGGGAAGGACGACAAACTAAACACAAAAAAGCAATTCTAAAGGAAATTCGTTCTTTAATCTCAATGACTTTAAAAGTGCATAGCTCCGGTGTGAATGAAAGCGCCACGCGATGCGGCGACCGTCTTTGTTCGATGGCGAGCGGCCAAAAGCAGCCGCTGCTGCGAGGACGATCGGAGTTCGCGTGGCCACGGCGCTACGCGCACGGGCCCGGCCCGACTCGCTCGCTCGCTCCCTACTCGTTGAAGACGTTGGCGTAGCGCGTGGTGACGCCGGCCACGGGCCCCGTGCCGCAGCCCAGGAACATGAAGGAGACGTAGCAGGCCGTGGACACCAGGTTGACCATGAGGGCGGTGCGCGCCGCGCCCAGGGGCGTGAGCGAGAGGCGGCGCACGATCAGCCCTCCCAGCAGGATGCCCAGACACGCGCACGGGATCGCCGTCATCGCTGGGCAGGGGGTGGACGCGGGGGTGGACGCGGGGGTGGCGACACACGGACGTTACAAGCGGCGCCCGCGTCCCATGTCCCACGTCCACGCAGCGTCAACGGCGGCGACGGCCGACATCACCGCCACACGTGTTCTGGTGTAAGGAGCAGGCTACTCCACCCAGCTACCCCAACACTACCACACGTGTTCTGGTGTAAGGAGCAGGCTACTCCACTCAGCTACCCCAACACTACCACACGTGTTCTGGTGTAACGAGCGGGCTACTCCACCCAGCTACCCCAACACTACCACACGTGTTCTGGTGTAACGAGCGGGCTACTCCACCCAGCTACCCCAACACTACCACACGTGTTCTGGTGTAAGGAGCAGGCTACTCCACCCAGCTACTCCAACACTACCACACGTGTTCTGGTGTAAGGAGCGGGCTACTCCACCCAGCTACCCCAACACTTCCACACGTGTTCTGGTGTAACGAGCGGGCTACTCCACCCAGCTACCCCAACACTACCACACGTGTTCTGGTGTAAGGAGCAGGCTACTCCACCCAGCTACTCCAACACTACCACACGTGTTCTGGTGTAAGGAGCAGGCTACTCCACCCAGCTACCCCAACACTACCACACGTGTTCTGGTGTAACGAGCGGGCTACTCCACCCAGCTACCCCAACACTACCACACGTGTTCTGGTGTAAGGAGCAGGCTACTCCACCCAGCTACCCCAACACTACCACACGTGTTCTGGTGTAAGGAGCAGGCTACTCCACCCAGCTACCCCAACACTACCACACGTGTTCTGGTGTAACGAGCGGGCTACTCCACCCAGCTACCCCAACACTACCACACGTGTTCTGGTGTAACGAGCGGGCTACTCCACCCAGCTACCCCAACACTACCACACGTGTTCTGGTGTAAGGAGCAGGCTACTCCACCCAGCTACTCCAACACTACCACACGTGTTCTGGTGTAAGGAGCGGGCTACTCCACCCAGCTACCCCAACACTACCACACGTGTTCTGGTGTAACGAGCGGGCTACTCCACCCAGCTACCCCAACACTACCACACGTGTTCTGGTGTAAGGAGCAGGCTACTCCACCCAGCTACCCCAACACTACCACACGTGTTTCTGGTGTAAGGAGCAGGCTACTCCACCCAGCTACCCCAACACTACCACACGTGTTCTGGTGTAACGAGCGGGCTACTCCACCCAGCTACCCCAACACTACCACACGTGTTCTGGTGTAACGAGCGGGCTACTCCACCCAGCTACCCCAACACTACCACACGTGTTCTGGTGTAAGGAGCAGGCTACTCCACCCAGCTACTCCAACACTACCACACGTGTTCTGGTGTAAGGAGCGGGCTACTCCACCCAGCTACCCCAACACTACCACACGTGTTCTGGTGTAACGAGCGGGCTACTCCACCCAGCTACCCCAACACTACCACATGTGTTCTGGTGTAAGGAGCAGGCTACTCCACCCAGCTACCCCAACACTACCACACGTGTTCTGGTGTAACGAGCGGGCTACTCCACCCAGCTACCCCAACACTACCACACGTGTTCTGGTGTAAGGAGCAGGCTACTCCACCCAGCTACTCCAACACTACCACACGTGTTCTGGTGTAAGGAGCGGGCTACTCCACCCAGCTACCCCAACACTACCACACGTGTTCTGGTGTAACGAGCGGGCTACTCCACCCAGCTACCCCAACACTACCACACGTGTTCTGGTGTAAGGAGCAGGCTACTCCACCCAGCTACCCCAACACTACCACACGTGTTCTGGTGTAACGAGCGGGCTACTCCACCCAGCTACCGCAACACTACCACACGTGTTCTGGTGTAAGGAGCGGGCTACTCCACTCAGCTACCCCAACACTACCACACGTGTTCTGGTGTAAGGAGCGGGCTACTCCACCCAGCTACCCCAACACTACCACACGTGTTCTGGTGTAAGGAGCGGGCTACTCCACTCAGCTACCCCAACACTACCACACGTGTTCTGGTGTAAGGAGCGGGCTACTCCACCCAGCTACCCCAACACTACCACACGTGTTCTGGTGTAACGAGCGGGCTACTCCACCCAGCTACCCCAACACTACCACACGTGTTCTGGTGTAAGGAGCAGGCTACTCCACCCAGCTACTCCAACACTACCACACGTGTTCTGGTGTAAGGAGCGGGCTACTCCACCCAGCTACCCCAACACTACCACACGTGTTCTGGTGTAACGAGCGGGCTACTCCACCCAGCTACCCCAACACTACCACACGTGTTCTGGTGTAAGGAGCAGGCTACTCCACCCAGCTACTCCAACACTACCACACGTGTTCTGGTGTAACGAGCGGGCTACTCCACCCAGCTACCCCAACACTACCACACGTGTTCTGGTGTAAGGAGCGGGCTACTCCACTCAGCTACCCCAACACTACCACACGTGTTCTGGTGTAAGGAGCGGGCTACTCCACCCAGCTACCCCAACACTACCACACGTGTTCTGGTGTAAGGAGCGGGCTACTCCACCCAGCTACCCCAACACTACCACACGTGTTCTGGTGTAAGGAGCGGGCTACTCCACCCAGCTACCCCAACACTACCACACGTGTTCTGGTGTAAGGAGCGGGCTACTCCACCCAGCTACTCCAACACTACCACACGTGTTCTGGTGTAAGGAGCGGGCTACTCCACCCAGCTACTCCAACACTACCACACGTGTTCTGGTGTCAGGAGCGGGCTACTCCACCCAGCTACCCCAACACTACCACACGTGTTCTGGTGTAAGGAGCGGGCTACTCCACTCAGCTACCCCAACACTACCACACGTGTTCTGGTGTAAGGAGCGGGCTACTCCACTCAGCTACCCCAACACTACCACACGTGTTCTGGTGTAAGGAGCGGGCTACTCCACCCAGCTACCCCAACACTACCACACGTGTTCTGGTGTAACGAGCGGGCTACTCCACCCAGCTACCCCAACACTACCACACGTGTTCTGGTGTAAGGAGCAGGGCTACTCCACCCAGCTACTCCAACACTACCACACGTGTTCTGGTGTAAGGAGCGGGCTACTCCACCCAGCTACCCCAACACTACCACACGTGTTCTGGTGTAACGAGCGGGCTACTCCACCCAGCTACCCCAACACTACCACACGTGTTCTGGTGTAAGGAGCAGGCTACTCCACCCAGCTACTCCAACACTACCACACGTGTTCTGGTGTAACGAGCGGGCTACTCCACCCAGCTACCCCAACACTACCACACGTGTTCTGGTGTAAGGAGCGGGCTACTCCACTCAGCTACCCCAACACTACCACACGTGTTCTGGTGTAAGGAGCGGGCTACTCCACCCAGCTACCCCAACACTACCACACGTGTTCTGGTGTAAGGAGCGGGCTACTCCACCCAGCTACCCCAACACTACCACACGTGTTCTGGTGTAAGGAGCGGGCTACTCCACCCAGCTACCCCAACACTACCACACGTGTTCTGGTGTAAGGAGCGGGCTACTCCACCCAGCTACCCCAACACTACCACACGTGTTCTGGTGTAAGGAGCGGGCTACTCCACCCAGCTACTCCAACACTACCACACGTGTTCTGGTGTCAGGAGCGGGCTACTCCACCCAGCTACCCCAACACTACCACACGTGTTCTGGTGTAAGGAGCGGGCTACTCCACCCAGCTACCCCAACACTACCACACGTGTTCTGGTGTAAGGAGCGGGCTACTCCACCCAGCTACCCCAACACTACCACACGTGTTCTGGTGTAAGGAGCGGGCTACTCCACTCAGCTACCCCAACACTACCACACGTGTTCTGGTGTAAGGAGCGGGCTACTCCACCCAGCTACCCCAACACTACCACACGTGTTCTGGTGTAAGGAGCGGGCTACTCCACTCAGCTACCCCAACACTACCACACGTGTTCTGGTGTAAGGAGCGGACTACTCCACCCAGCTACCCCAACACTATCACACGTGTTCTGGTGTAAGGAGCGGGCTACTCCACCCAGCTACCCCAACACTACCACACGTGTTCTGGTGTAAGGAGCGGGCTACTCCACCCAGCTACCCCAACACTACCACACGTGTTCTGGTGTAAGGAGCGGGCTACTCCACCCAGCTACCCCAACACTACCACACGTGTTCTGGTGTAAGGAGCGGGCTACTCCACCCAGCTACCCCAACACTACCACACGTGTTCTGGTGTAAGGAGCGGGCTACTCCACTCAGCTACCCCAACACTACCACACGTGTTCTGGTGTAAGGAGCGGGCTACTCCACCCAGCTACCCCAACACTACCACACGTGTTCTGGTGTAAGGAGCGGGCTACTCCACCCAGCTACCCCAACACTACCACACGTGTTCTGGTGTAAGGAGCGGGCTACTCCACCCAGCTACCCCAACACTACCACACGTGTTCTGGTGTAAGGAGCGGGCTACTCCACCCAGCTACCCCAACACTACCACACGTGTTCTGGTGTAAGGAGCGGGCTACTCCACCCAGCTACTCCAACACTACCACACGTGTTCTGGTGTCAGGAGCGGGCTACTCCACCCAGCTACCCCAACACTACCACACGTGTTCTGGTGTCAGGAGCGGGCTACTCCACCCAGCTACTCCAACACTACCACACGTGTTCTGGTGTAAGGAGCAGGCTACTCCACTCAGCTACCCCAACACTACCACACGTGTTCTGGTGTAACGAGCGGGCTACTCCACCCAGCTACCCCAACACTACCACACGTGTTCTGGTGTAAGGAGCGGGCTACTCCACTCAGCTACCCCAACACTACCACACGTGTTCTGGTGTAACGAGCGGGCTACTCCACCCAGCTACTCCAACACTACCACACGTGTTCTGGTGTAACGAGCGGGCTACTCCACCCAGCTACCCCAACACTACCACACGTGTTCTAGTGTAATGAGCGGGCTACTCCACTCAGCTACCCCAACACAACCACACGTGTTCTGGTGTCAGGAGCGGGCTACTCCACCCAGCTACCCCAACACTACCACACGTGTTCTGGTGTAACGAGCGGGCTACTCCACTCAGCTACCCCAACACAACCACACGTGTTCTGGTGTAACGAGCGGGCTACTCCACCCAGCTACCCCAACACTACCACACGTGTTCTGGTGTAAGGAGCGGGCTACTCCACTCAGCTACCCCAACACTACCACACGTGTTCTGGTGTAACGAGCGGGCTACTCCACCCAGCTACTCCAACACTACCACACGTGTTCTGGTGTAAGGAGCGGGCTACTCCACCCAGCTACCCCAACACTACCACACGTGTTCTGGTGTCAGGAGCTGGCTACTCCACTCAGCTACCCCAACACTACCACACGTGTTCTGGTGTAACGAGCAGGCTACTCCACTCAGCTACCCCAACACTACCACACGTGTTCTGGTGTAAGGAGCAGGCTACTCCACTCAGCTACTCCAACACTACCACGTGTTCTGGTGTAAGGAGCGGGCTACTCCACCCAGCTACCCCAACACTACCACACGTGTTCTGGTGTAAGGAGCGGGCTACTCCACCCAGCTACCCCAACACTACCACACGTGTTCTGGTGTAAGGAGCGGGCTACTCCACCCAGCTACCCCAACACTACCACACGTGTTCTGGTATAAGGAGCGGGCTACTCCACCCAGCTACCCCAACACTACCACACGTGTTCTGGTGTCAGGAGCGGGCTACTCCACTCAGCTACCCCAACACAACCACACGTGTTCTGGTGTAACGAGCGGGCTACTCCACTCAGCTACCCCAACACTACCACACGTGTTCTGGTGTAAGGAGCAGGCTACTCCACCCAGCTACCCCAACACTACCACACGTGTTCTGGTGTCAGGAACAGGCTACTCCACCCAGCTACCCCAACACTACCACACGTGTTCTGGTGTAAGGAACAGGCTACTCCACCCAGCTACCCCAACACTACCACACGTGTTCTGGTGTAAGGAACAGGCTACTCCACCCAGCTACCCCAACACTACCACACGTGTTCTGGTGTCAGGAGCGGGCTACTCCACCCAGCTACCCCAACACTACCACACGTGTTCTGGTGTAACGAGCGGGCTACTCCACCCAGCTACCCCAACACTACCACACGTGTTCTGGTGTAAGGAGCGGGCTACTCCACTCAGCTACCCCAACACTACCACACGTGTTCTGGTGTAACGAGCGGGCTACTCCACCCAGCTACTCCAACACTACCACACGTGTTCTGGTGTAACGAGCGGGCTACTCCACCCAGCTACCCCAACACTACCACACGTGTTCTAGTGTAATGAGCGGGCTACTCCACTCAGCTACCCCAACACAACCACACGTGTTCTGGTGTCAGGAGCGGGCTACTCCACCCAGCTACCCCAACACTACCACACGTGTTCTGGTGTAACGAGCGGGCTACTCCACTCAGCTACCCCAACACAACCACACGTGTTCTGGTGTAACGAGCGGGCTACTCCACCCAGCTACCCCAACACTACCACACGTGTTCTGGTGTAAGGAGCGGGCTACTCCACTCAGCTACCCCAACACTACCACACGTGTTCTGGTGTAACGAGCGGGCTACTCCACCCAGCTACTCCAACACTACCACACGTGTTCTGGTGTAAGGAGCGGGCTACTCCACCCAGCTACCCCAACACTACCACACGTGTTCTGGTGTCAGGAGCAGGCTACTCCACTCAGCTACCCCAACACTACCACACGTGTTCTGGTGTAACGAGCAGGCTACTCCACTCAGCTACCCCAACACTACCACACGTGTTCTGGTGTAAGGAGCAGGCTACTCCACTCAGCTACTCCAACACTACCACGTGTTCTGGTGTAAGGAGCGGGCTACTCCACCCAGCTACCCCAACACTACCACACGTGTTCTGGTGTAAGGAGCGGGCTACTCCACCCAGCTACCCCAACACTACCACACGTGTTCTGGTGTAAGGAGCGGGCTACTCCACCCAGCTACCCCAACACTACCACACGTGTTCTGGTATAAGGAGCGGGCTACTCCACCCAGCTACCCCAACACTACCACACGTGTTCTGGTGTCAGGAGCGGGCTACTCCACTCAGCTACCCCAACACAACCACACGTGTTCTGGTGTAACGAGCGGGCTACTCCACTCAGCTACCCCAACACTACCACACGTGTTCTGGTGTAAGGAGCAGGCTACTCCACCCAGCTACCCCAACACTACCACACGTGTTCTGGTGTCAGGAACAGGCTACTCCACCCAGCTACCCCAACACTACCACACGTGTTCTGGTGTAAGGAACAGGCTACTCCACCCAGCTACCCCAACACTACCACACGTGTTCTGGTGTAAGGAACAGGCTACTCCACCCAGCTACCCCAACACTACCACACGTGTTCTGGTGTCAGGAGCGGGCTACTCCACCCAGCTACCCCAACACTACCACACGTGTTCTGGTGTAACGAGCGGGCTACTCCACCCAGCTACCCCAACACTACCACACGTGTTCTGGTGTAACGAGCGGGCTACTCCACTCAGCTACCCCAACACTACCACACGTGTTCTGGTGTAAGGAGCGGGCTACTCCACTCAGCTACTCCAACACTACCACACGTGTTCTGGTGTCAGCAGCAGGCTACTCCACCCAGCTACCCCAACACAACCACACGTGTTCTGGTGTAACGAGCAGGCTACTCCACTCAGCTACCCCAACACAACCACACGTGTTCTAGTGTAACGAGCGGGCTGCTCCACGTGACAGGAGGATGAGGGGGAGGAGATGGCCGGCTGGGCTTACCGAGCAGTTGGTTGGCGTAGGAGGCGGTGAGGTTGTACTGCCGCTCCAGGTACTTCCCCAGGAAGGCGGCGAAGCCGGCGATGACGGCGATCTCGGCGCAGGCGGCCAGCACGATGCAGGTGAACACCGGGTTCCGTAGCAGAGTGCGCGTCGCCCTGGGGATCACTGCGTGGCGCCAACACAAAGATCCCCCCGGCGTAGTCTTTAACGGACCGTCGGGGCGGGCGAGTGCCGCGTGCGAGGCCGGAAAACGGTGTCACGTGCGGGTGGTGGGGCCAGATCCACGCCCGGCCGCCTTTGTCTCCCCAGTGCTGACGTTTTACACACCGCAGCACGCGCTGATTTGACTTATGACCGGTTCAGATATTCGCCGCTGTTACTGCATTGGTCACGAGCGGGGAATTTTACCCGGGTAGCCGGGTTCATAGTGCAGAGCGCTAACCACCGCACCACCGTTCTGCACATCACTGCACAAGCACAGGTGCATACTGGACCTGATCACTCGCTGGGAGGAGGTCACGGGGCAGGGCTCAGGTGTCACTGGATCACTGACTAAACCAGTCCAGTGAGAGAATCTAACCGGACACGCGTGGTGTTTTGTGCAGGCATTGGTGCCAAGACATTGAACTCTCGCTGCTGTTGAGAAATTCGTCGCGGGCAGTTGACTGCAGCCCAGACTCGAACAACGGAACTAAGCGGAGCCGGTTCACCGCGAGCCTCGCGGCTCACCCGGGCCACCTCCGCCCCCACTCCTCCGACCACCCCCCCCTCCTCGCCGAGTGTTGTTGCGTTCATCTCGCGTCGTTTGAATCACTCGGCCAGGCAGGTACCGGCAACCAATCGTCAAAATAAAATCGTTGGCCCATTCGAGACTCCTTACAGCGCGACGCGAATGCGATAGAAGGCGGCGTTGCTTCTGTGGACGCGGCCTTTCAAAATAACTATTAAACAATGTTTAACTTTCAACACAACTATTAAACAATGTTTAACTTTCAACACAACTATTAAACAATGTTTAACTTTACCAGGTAAGGTCCCCTGAGCTGTGTAGCTTTGTTCAGAGACGGCCCGGCTATCACAAATGACAGCTCAACGAAGTGGACATTCATTGCAGCAGCCAAATACTCGAAGCGCGTGTTTTCTAAACGTGGAGGGAAAAACCGGAGCACCCGGAGTAAAAATCCACGTGACCACGGGGAGAGAGACGCAAACTCCACGGATTCAGGCATCAGGGTCGGCATGGAAGCCACGACCTCCTGTATACCTGGCGAGGGAGTTAACATCTCGCTACCGTGGCATCCTCTCTGCAGCAGTTCTGCAGGACAAGGTGATGTTGTTGCTGCCGCCGCGCGAAATTTCCCACGTCAGAATGATGTGGGTAAATTTTCGAATTTGACTAAATTTGGACCACGCCTCCCGGCACGCAACGGCCGACGGCGACAAGGACGCTTCTTAGCCTATGGGTACGGTCCGCCGTTAACCGGCGTTAACCGCCGTTAACCAGTGTTACCCGCCGTTAACCGACGTTAACCGCCGTTAACCGCCGTTAAACCGCCGTTAACTGCCGTTAAACCGCCGTTAAACCGCCGTTAACTGCCGTTAAACCGCCGTTAACCGCCGTTAACCGTCGTTAGCCGCTGCACAGCGCTTCACCTCTCAAGTGGCGGCAACACGACCCCGCCTCCCGCCCGTTGCCCGGGGTAACCACGCTGCCGTTTGCCGTCTTGGGGGTCAGAGGCGCCGCCAGGGGTCGGAGGGCGGCGCGATCCGAGTGGCCGGCATCGACGGCGCCGGGCGGCGGCGGCGGCGGCAGCAGCACCGGCAGCGGCAGCGAGGGCAGCAGCTCGGGCGTGCAGTGCGGCGGGCGGGCGAGCGAGCGTGGGAAGCCGAACATGAAGAGCGAGGAGACGAAGAGGAACACGGCGCAGAGGAGGAAGCCGGCCCACCACGCGCCGATCCAGCGCGGGTCTTCCGGGGTCAGGTCCAGCTTGCCTGTGTGGTGGGGGGGTGAGGGTGTTTGTGCGTCGAGGGTGGAGGCGGGGAACGAACACGAGGGGCGACGGTCGCGGCAAACAAGCCCTTGGCTTCTGGAGCGCCGGCCTGAGGCCACGATTGGCCTTGGCCTCGGCCCGAAGGGGCTCTCGGCCTTGGCTTTGTCTCGGGCCCTCTCGTGCTTGGCCTTGCCTTGGCCCAAGGGCTTGGAGGACTGGCAGCAAACTATTTTTAAACGAAGCTATTTTTACTTTACCAGGTAAGGCCCGCTGAGCTGCGTTGCTCTTTTTTGGAGCAGCGGCACCAGTCAAACCGGTCACGCGTAATCTCTCGCAACGATAACTTTCACAGAGTGTCTGAATGTCGAGCGGGCTCACTCGTGTTGATGAAGATGGCGTCGACGTAAATGCGCGTGAACACGGAGCCCAGCATGAAGCCGCACGCCGGGCCGAACACCAGCGTGGTGAACACGATGCCTGCGGACAAACAGAGAGGCAGCGGTCAGTTGTTCCGTCAGCGAGCTCCTGTTAAGGCCGGCACGTCACAGCCCTGCGGGCACGTGCCGCCAATGTCCACCCAACGAATTACCATCAACTGCACGGTACAACGTCACACATCTGAGTGTCACATATCGGCCCTGACCAATGAACAGCCCGCACCAGTGCGCTATTCGTGCGCGAGTGACACCGCCGCGTGCTACAGATGTTCACGAATCCCAACTTTTTCCATAACAGCAACAAAACTCAGCACACTCGTCAATGAAAGGGGGAAAAAAACGAGATAAATAAAAATAGACGACGTTTTCGGGCGAATGCCCTTCTCCACGGCACGTGTTTTCACGCACAGTAAATTTGCGTTCCTAATCTCGCGGACGCTCGCCGACTGTGGACAGCACGGTGGCGCGTTTCCCCTGAAGCCAATGTTGTTGCCTCTCTCACTCTCTCGCGCTCTCATTCACTGTCTCTCTTTCTCTATCTCTCACTCACTGTCTCTCTATCTCTCACTGTCTCTCTCTCTTTTTTTACGATCAGAGGAAACAAGAAGATGCTCGGTGTAGTCGGCACTTTGCTCCGTTCATCATTTCGGTTTTCTTATGCTTTGCTTTATGTAACCCCCCCCCCCCACACCTTTTAAATGAAAGACCCAACAAAATATATTTCTTCTCTTTTTTTCTGCTCTCCTTACCCCTTCCCTCTCTCTCTACCCCCCTCTCTGCCCCCCTCTCTGCCCCCCTCTCTTCCTACTCCATTTCGCTCTCTCTCGCTGACTCTCTCGCTGTTTTTTATATAACTACGACAAATGCTGCACCTGTACGCAGGCCTTCCCACAGTCAAACGGCCTCCGACGGGTAGCTTAGATCTCTCTCTCCCTCCTTTTCACCTTCTAACGTGCACAGTCGTCGGGAGTGGCGTGCGTCACGACCACCACGTGACGTTTTTTTGTGCGTGGTGCGTCTCGTGCCACGTGCTGTAGCGCGTGTTTTTTTTAATTGCGTTTGGTTATTTTGTTGCTGGTGACTTTGTGGTTCGTATCGAAATCGCCTCCGGTGCTGTTGCTGCTGGTGGCAATAAAAATGGTTTAAAAGTCAAAAGTCTCTCTCTCTCTCTCTCGCTTTCTCTCTTGTTTTTCTCTCTCACTCTCTCTCACTCACTCTCTCGCCCTCACGCTCTCTCTCTCTCGCTCTCTATCACACTCTCTCTCTCTCTCGCTCTCTCTCTGGCTCTCTCTCACTCTTTCACTCTCGCTTGCCCTCACTCTCTCTCTCTCGCTCTCTATCACACTCTCTCTCGCTCTCTCTGGCTCTCTCTCACTCTCTCATTCTCTCTCGCCCTCACTCTCTCTCACTCTCTCGCTCTCTCTCTCGCTCTCTCACTCTCTCACTCTCTCTCACTCTCGCTCGCCCTCACTCTCTCTCTGGCTCTCTCTCTGGCTCTCGCTCTCTGTCTCTCCCTCGCTCTCTCTCGCTCTCTCTCTGGCTGTCTCTCACTCTCTCTGGCTCTCTCTCACTCTCTCACTCTCTCTCACTCTCTCTCTGTCTCTCCCTCGCTCTCTCTCTGGCTCTCTCTCACTCTCTCTGGCTCTCTCTCACTCTCTCTCTCCCTCGCTCTCTCTCGCTCTCTCTGTCCAGAAACGTGCACGGCAGGGCGGCAGCAGCAGCTGCCAATCTCTCGCGATGTCCACACGTCCGACCTTTCCACGGTTCCCCCGGCGAGATCGACGCTGGAGAACTGAAACCACGTGGTGACGATGAGCCATCTTCATTGAGTTATCATTTGTGATAGCCAGGTCACTTTTGAAAAAGAAGCTAAGAGCTCAATGGGCTTCATCGGATTCCTCCAGGACAAGACAACATTCCGATGACATATAACGACCACGATCGATCGACCGTGCCTGCCAATGCGAGTCAGGGTCACGGTTAGCCGGCACCAACGCAGGGTGGCATCGTAGCCGCGCGATCTCCACGGCGAAGGGCGGAGCTCACAGCGGGCCCTGCCACACGACGGCACTGCAGGGCACTCCGAGCTCAGCCCCCAACACCAACACCCACCCCTCCCCACTGTTCGTCCGTGGGAGCAAGGTGCGGTCGTCCAGGGGCCAATGACAGAGGTTCATGGGTCAAATCCGGCAGGCCGTCCTGGTTAATACTGTGTGTGTGGGGGGGGGTTACCCGTGGCACCTGAGTCTGTCCTGTGACCTTCAACACTTCACCTGGCCTCAAAGTGCACCTGGCCTGGCACAGACGCCGTGGTGACGCCACCGCGGCTTAGTGGCAAATGGCGGTGTACCGGTGTTGGTTATTCGTAAAATTCCGAGCGCCGTCCGCTTCACTCACAGTGTACGTTAAAGATAAAAGTGGATGTCATTCTAAACGAACCGGCCATTGCGTGCCGTCATCACGGTCTAAGTATAACCAAACTTCGAAGAAGAAAAGTAATCGCCCGCGAATTGCTCAAATGGGATTGCGCACGGCGGTAGCAATCATCGCCCCCTCTGCTCGCAGAACGATTTACGAGCGATCGCAGGCCGGCTGCTGAGTCACCTTGTGCCGCACGGGGACAGATGCCACTGTGGTGGGGTTCTGGGGGGGGGGTGGGCGGCGGCGTGTTGAGAGAGAAGAGACGTCAAGCGAGTGGATCGTCGCGGCGAGTAAAGCACCCTGAGAGAGGCGTCCGCCTGGACCAGCGTGAAGGACGCTCGATCAAAGCAAATCATTCTCAGCATCCTCGTCGTCGTCATCCAGCACTGATCGACCTGCGGGCTGGGCCGCCGAGATGGCTCTAAGTGACCAGTGCACTTGCGATGCCAATTGTTTACGGCTTCCGCTCAAGTGCTTCCCGTTTTCCGGTCATCCTCGCAGTAGCAGCGGCAGCGGCGGCTTGGCTCACTATCGCACAAAGACGGTGGTCGCCGCATCGTCGCCCGCCGCTTTCAGCTGCGCTTCTGCGGCCGTCTGGAACGCTCTTCCTTCCGATATTAAGAAGCCACTGGAGCGATGCACTTTTACATCATCATCATCATCTAGATTGAACGCTCGTATCTTCAGAACTGCTTTTTGCGTTTGGTTTGTTGTCCATCGCCCGCACCTCCGATGGGCGCGGTTGGCTACGTACGGCGCGAAAGAAGTTAAACGTGCGTACAGTGTACACACAAGCGAGGGGAGGCAGGAGTTCAAGCGGTGCCCAGCAACATCAGCATCAGATGCCACTGGCTGTGGGCCAACAGCACTCACTCCACGCACTCCACTCACTCCACGCACTCCACTTGATAAATAGTGGCCAGGGAACAATCAACTAAGAGCGTTCGGCTTAACCGGGGCCCAGGGCCCTAACGGAAAAGTCCGGTCCCGAGGGAGCCCTCGTGTAACGCGACGGGCATTACACGGTGTGAACGCGATGCAAATGTATGTAGGTGCGTTGGACTTCTTTCGCACCGTACCTAGCCAACCGCGCCTTGAAAATCGGTGGGCAAAATAGACGAGAGTTACAATGAGCATGGAAAATAATACTTATTATTATTACGAACCGCACCAGGAGCACGTTGCAAAAATAAAATGTCAAATTAGAATCGTCATCTTCAACATATACATCACAAATGCAACATATGCAGTGACGACATATTGGTGCTTATCTCCCGCTAGCAGCTCTGAGCCAGTTTGTGGAAATTCCACACTCCCATGGCAGGGGCGAGTACTGTATATCCATCGGACAACTGCTGTGGTACTCGATTTTATCGGCCCCGGAGGAATACTGATGGGCTGAGACGACCGCCCGCAAACAGGTTTTAAACTCGCGACATTGGGATGGCGATCTGCTGGCTCGACCTTCGCAGAAGTATCACAATGTTATTTTGTGTTTGTTTTGTATTTGTTAAGGCACTTCAACTGGAATGTGTTTACGTAAGACGCTGTCAAAATTGGCCCACGTTGCGTTGTGTTGCATCAGTGGACCTCCTCGCAACGTCTGCTCACTCCCCTCCCATCCTCCCTCCCCTCCCTCCCCTCTCCTCATCGCTTCCCCCTCCTCCCCCCTCCAAATCTTCTCATCCCTCCCCTCTTCTCCCCCCTCCTCCTCCCCCCCTGCCCCCTCCTCTCCTCCACTCCCTCCTCCTTCCCCGCCCTCCTCCCTCCTCCTCCTCCTCCCTCCCCCTTGGGTGCTCGCCCAAGTGCTGATGCCTTCAAAGCGGCGCGAGGCGCTCTCCCAGCAAGCAAGGGGCTAAGAATCGCAGCAAGACGTGAAGACGAGGCAGGGCCACACCCACAAAGCCGCGGGCCAAAATCGAAGCCGTCCGTTTCGTCGAAGCCAATTGATCTCTCCCCCTCCCCTCTCTCTCGCTTTGAGTAGGAAAAGATGAACGCGCCGATAGATGAACGAGGGGCCGATGACCCCTAACCGGGCGAGTGCGTGCCCAAAGCCTCCACGGCCCTCCCGCGTGACGTGCCAAGTGCCACCTCGCGCGGAGGGGGGGGGTCAACGTTGCTCCTTGTCGACAAACTTTCAAATCGTCTCTGGCGTTGGGTGAGAGGAACGCGTGGCTCGGGGTGAGCTTCGCTCTGCAGACGCCCACAAGCGTCAAAGCAGCCAGCAGCAACAGACGGCACACTGCCAAAGAGGAGAAGGGGTGTGAGCGAGCGGGGCGTTTTATTATTTCTTATTGATCGAGGTGATTGCTGTGAGAGGTTCCGAGGGAAGGGAAAGGAGACGTTGGGAAGAGATCCTCAAGTCGGGCAGTGCGAGGGAAGTTTAATTTGTTCAACCGGGCGAGATTAATCGGAGGCAAGGACACATTCTCACTTGCGAGAGTGACCAGAGGGCATGAGCGTGCCTCTAGGGGGCGATGATTACTATCTGCAGTCCCAACTGAGAAAACCTGCCGGGAACGTTCTCAGTCGACAACTTTGGGCTCCGCCGCCGGCACGCGGCGGCCTGCTCTCGCGGGATCGTTCACGCGAAGCGGGCGGCGGCGGAGGGGTGAGAGC